TTTTAAAACTTTTTATTTTAAAAAAGGCAACGAAAATGCAAGAGGCGATCTCTCCCCTGCAGATAAATCATCAGTACTTTTGAAAAATGTTTACACCGGAAATATTTCCATTAGATTATGCCAACTTGACCTTCTTCTTCCTCCTCCTTTTTTTTTTTTAAGATCAAAAGGAAATGAATAAATGTCATCAATTTAGAGGATTTCCCACCTAGCACTCTTTTCTGTATCACTGTGAATTTGATCCTGTTAAAACATTCTTATAGGTAAAATAAATGTCAGTTTTGCAAAGAGCACTGCCAGACCCTGAGAGACAAATGGCCTATCCACTGAATCTCTGGCTACAGCAAGACTTCCGCCCCTCACAGGAGACTTCAGCTTTTCATATTTCTCTTTACCCAGAAAGCAACGCTTATACAGTTTCTTTCAAATGGTAACTCTGTCTTATCCGGAAGAGTCCCCTCATAATACAATCACCTCGGATGGGAGAGGTGGGGGAGCAGGTGGGTGGGAAGGGAGGTCGTGGGTTGGCCTTAAGAAATAATAATAAAATAAAGTGCAAATGCTTAAATAGTGTTATAACGTAGGATATGTTCTTGAAAAAAGGGCAAATAAGGAGAGGGGCGAAGATAAGGCTAAATTCCTGAGTTATAAGAAAGGGTTATGTTGCTTTGGGCTTAATGGCTCATAAATTCATGAGGTAATATTCAGGGAAAATGTGATATTTTATCAGAATGTCATTCGAATATAAGGTTGAACATTTACATCACAAGAGCATGCAGAGGAAAACTCTCCTCCGGGAGAGAAATGGCAAGAATAAATAGTGTGATAAAAAATAGAGAGAGAGAGAAGGAAAAAGAAAAATCAAAACCCTGCACTCACTGGCACAGGGAAGTAGAGGCTGGGAGCCTCAGAGACAGCTGACTCAACTTGTAAAAATCCGCGACTGGCTGTGACACGTGAAGCAATTAGCAGTAATGGCAGAAAGCTAGCTCAAAGCTCATTTTCCATTTGTCTAGAGCTTTCCTGAAAACTACAGCTTTGCAACTACAAAGTGAAGAAAAAGCAAGAAGAAAGGAAGGAAGGAAGGAAGGAAGGGAGGGAGGGAGGGAGGGAGGGGAAAGAAGAGGAAAGAAAGAGAAAGAAAGAGAGAAAGAAAGGAAGGAAGGGAGGGAGGGAGGAAGGAAAAGAAAGAAGGAAGGAAGGAAGGAAGGAAGGAAGGAAGGAAGGAAGGAAGGAAAGAAAGAAAGAAAGAAAGAAAGAAAGAAAGAAAGAAAGAAAGAAAGAAAGAAAGAAAGAAAGAAAGAAAGGAAGGAAGGAAGGAAGAAAAAGGAAAGAAAGAGCAGAGAGAAAGAGAAAAAGGAACCTACAAAGAGAACTCACAGCACGGGCCTCTTCCTGGCACAGGGGCCGGCAGAGGTTGCTTTACTCATAAGCAAAGGGGGAGAAAAAATGCACCGATTGCCTGGGGTTTTTTATTTTATTTTCTTGCCAGAAGAGATCGATGTTTTCTTGCAGAACAGACCAAAAGAAAAAAAAAAAATTGATTAAAAAGAAGTCTTTCCATACCATTCGCAGGATTTTACAATTCAAAAGAGTCTAAGATAAAAGAGGATCATTTGTCTACAATGATATCAATTTGGGAAAATATATTCTCTGCAAGCAAAGTCAGTATGTTTGGAAAATGCCGTTTAGATTAGTCTAATTCTATAGGATCCAAATGTGCACCCAACACTGCACTTTTTATGTTAAATTGCTGTTGAATTTGTTAACCCACAACTGATTTCCTGTGTTATGGAATCTTGGAGATTACAGCTAACTTAAAGCAACAGGGATAATTCTTGACAGTTAATGGTAGATTTGTATGTATTTTCCTGAAAGGCTGGCATCTCAGGGGGCCTCAAACTGGTAGCTCAACATTGCCCCCTACTGTTTACAACTAAAATGTTAGGAGTTGGGCTGGTACCAAGCAGCAATCCAACCAACCAGTGCCAATTCCACCCCCAGCATACAAATACCAGATGGCACCGCACCAACAGAGCCACATAACCGTAGACCTTTCCAGCGACAGTTCTGTCTCTTCCAATTGTAAAGATAAACTATTATGAATTTGTTAAAAGTCATTTTTAAAGGGCTTGAGGCGATGCTCAAATTTAATTTCAACAGACCATCCTTTTATCTTGGCCCAGGCGTCCTTCACTCTACTGAGAATGATCATCCTGGGGCCTGTGGAGAGAAACACTGAGGCCACAGACTTCCCTCGGAACACTGAGGCCACATCAACTGGAGAAAAAAAAAAAAAAACACTCCAGAAAATTCCCAGCCTTGCTCTTCTTAGCTTTCAGCTTTTCTAGCTATCAAATCAATAGATATTCCCAAAAAGAAATACATCACTGCCACCAGATAGAAATATTTATCAAGCTTTGAAATCAATTCTAATCGAACACAACATCAAAGATTTTACTATAATAACACTCAAAGGTAATTTTAAGACAATTTTTTTAAAAAACAAAAATCAAAATTTCTATCTTATTTCATATCCAAGCCTAATTCACAGAGTTGTCAAATTATAAATTCAAAGTCAAGCTGATGTCCTGGAGTTGAGGCCAAAATTGGACTTTCACAATGGGCAGGAAAATTGAAACACCCCCCCAACCCCTAAAACAGGCTGCAGTTCAGGAGCAAAACTCAGGAGATTGAGCGAGGACCTTTCATTTCCTCCAAATCACGCTTACGGTGCTGAGTTTTGCATTGATCCAGGTCTTAAGAGAAATCCACTTTTGTGATATTACTAATACACCAATAAGGAAAGAAAAAAAGGAGGATTCGTGCTTGGCTTTTTCAGTCTTCCACCCACGAAAGGTTATGGCATATGGGTAGTGAAGGGCCCCGTAGAGATACTTGGAAAGCCGGGAGTCAGACCCTGACAGCGGCCTTCAGAGCAGCACAGCAGAACCCCTAAATCCGGCTTCTTTCGCCTAAGGCACAGAAGTCAATCACTGGCATCGGGCTGGTGGAGGAGAGCAGGTTTATTTGTGAAGTGCACAGCAAGGAAGAGCTGTGCCTTTGCGCCTGGGCTCCTCAGTATGCTAAAGCACGGGGTGAAGGATCTCGCAGGCTCGGGTGGGGGCTAAGGGCGCACACTCAGCAAGTCTCCCAGTTAGTGCTGTGCGTCAGTCTCCTGGATTCTCCAGGGATATGGCATTTGGGGGGTAGGGATTGTGGTGATGGTCAAGCAGGCTCTAGTTAGTCAAGATGGTTACTTTTTACTCTGGCCCAGGGTTTCCTGGTAAAAACCCTCAAGATCAGACAGAGCCACGAGATGTTATCTACACAGGCGATCCCAGCTCCTGCAGGGCCAGCTGTGCTGCTCCTTCAAATTACTGAGTTAATTTTAGGAGGTTTGACTTGCAACTTGAAGCTGAGAGCAGCAGACTTGAGAGACTGTGGGAGACCAGGGACCTGATAGCATCTACCATCTTCATCAAAGGCCTTGGAAAGGGCTCGGTTTCAGCGATGCCTTGACATTTTCATTATTTTGAAATGGGGGTCAGTGTAGATCCTGTGTTAGGTGTTCCCACCACACTACAAAGGAGGAGCAGGAGACGAAGGAGCGGCTGGGAGGAGAGGCTCTGGAGGCGGCAGCAGGACATTGTCCGGAGGTGATGGACATGTCTCACGGCTCGGTGGGTGGGTGCAGGTTCTGAGGTGCATGGGTACCTCCCAAATCACCAAGCTGTGCACATTGTGAAAGGCGACATACAGCCTTCCCCATGTGGATCCTATTTCTTCTACAAAATGACTTCAAAAATCCAACTGGCATGGGCAGTGGCTACATAGCTTCACAGGCGACTTCACTGTGCCCGGCTCGGCTCAGTCTGTGCAGGGTCCATCTCCAGAGTGTAGCAGCCTTTTATCACTTTCCAATTACATGCTGAACTTGGCTGCTTGGCGACAGGGCACAGAGGTGAAGGGCAAGGACTCCGAGCCGGTCCCCACCTAATAGCTGCATGACCTTCAGAAGGCCACACGGAGCCTATGTGTTCTCACCCTTCTCATTTGAACAAGTGAGAAAAACGTTATACCTACTTGTCCAGACTTGTCAGAAAACACTCAGAACAGTGTTTGGTCCTTTGGAAACACCCCTGACGTGTTTGCTGTTGTCAGGATTGACAATCAAGGCGACATTCGGCACCTGAAAGTGACTTCAGCTGGCCTGCCAGCTCTACTTCCTGCCATATTGGTTCTTGCTTTAGTCACGCTCTGCCTCCTCACTTCCTGCTCTTTCACAAGTTGCTGCTGCTGAATGTTCCTCCCCAGATGCCCTCCCCGCTCTCCCCAACTGCTCCCCCTCCCAAGTCCACATCTCAAGCTTTTCCTCAGTTCCATTTCCAATGGCCTCAATTTAATACTCCCTTCTCTGAGCTACGATGTTTTTTTTTTTCCCTTAAAAGAAAGAAACACACAAAACCCACTATCATGAGATTTCTTTTTAGCAGATGTAATACCCGGAGATCCTCATGGCCATCTCCTTGCTCAGTTGTTTAAAGAGCACGCATTAGAGCTCAAGCTCTGGAGCCGGACTGCTTGGGTTTCAATCTTGCTCTGACTCAGTGACCTTGGGCGAGGCCTGTCTCTGTCCTCCGTTTTCGCATCTATAAATTAAGGCTCATAACATCATCCACACCTCTCAGCATTATTGTAAGAATTCCCTTAGTAGGATGCCCAGTGCCTATAAAAAGTGCAGCTGGATTTTAGTTACTGTGGTTGAACTGTTCTTACCACTACTCGCTGGCATTGTATCCGGCACTGTTTTATATGGGGAAAATACTCAATAAACATTTATTGGACTGAACTGAGATTGCGACGATAGAATCCTAACCGCTCATATCGCCTTACAAAGAATAAGTGAATAGTTTGTAATGAGTAAATATATATTTGCCTATGCAAAATCGGCAGTGGAGGATTCACATAGTACAGGATCCCTGACCTCGCACACTTACCACATCTTCCATCTTCCTCCACAGCGCCTCTAATCGGGTCATGGGTTCACACCACCAGTCGGTGCACTTTCTGTATCGGTGACCTTGAAACCAAAACTGTCGCAGCCACTCAAACTCCACCTGTGGACCATCGAAAGAAAGCACTGGTTACAAGGTCCTTGAGATGGACCAGCAAGGACAATGACATCGATGCTCAGTTCTCTAGCAACTTAAGAACCACAGAGTGGAAAAAGGTGAGAAAAGCTTGACCTACCCAGTTCCATTCAAAACTCAAGAATCCCCAGGGTATGTCTGTAAAGCCAAGAAAAGAATTGTCTTAAAAGATGAAGGCTAACACAGGCATTTGGCACAGCTGTCAAACTGCTACAGGGACAGGCATCTTATTTTGGAGTGCCTGTGGCTCAGTCTCATCTCTGCTCTCCATTCCAGCTTCCTGTTCATGTGCACCCTAAGAGGCAGCAGCTGATGGCTCACATGGTTAGGGCCTCAACAATACATGCAAGACCAGGACTGAGTTCCTGTTTCCTGTCTTCCACTTGGTAGTAGCAAGCCAGTGGATGGGAGCCCTCTTTCATCTCTCCCTCTGCCCCCCATCCCCCTCTCTCTCTCTGTCTCTTTTACTGTCTTTCAAATAAAACAACAACAACAACAAAATGTCTTTGTAAAGGCTCTTTAAAAAACAAAAGATCGGGTGCTTTAACAAAGATAACCCAGTTCCCACAGGGCAAGGGTTTAAAATCACATTTATCAATCACACATACAGAAACTTTAAATTCAATTAAAAACAATTACTGAGAACCTAAATAAAAGTAGCCTGTAGCACGTATCAAAGGAAAAGACAGAATCCAATAAAATACGCTTGACTAAACATTTTTGAAAGGTGGCCACTAAAAACAAAATAGGTACATTTTGGGAAAGACAAACTATACATTTCTTAGCTTTAAAATAAATTAAATAAATTTAAAAAGCAAAGCAATGGTCTGGGAAAGTGGGGTGTTTGTAAAAACATTTACCCAAATCACCGAACAATGTGAAATGAATTATGAAGCCATTCAAACCGTCACCTGTCAACTCAGTCAAGGAAAATGACAATAAGTGAAAGCAACAGCAAAGATACTAGTTTGCTTTCCTTAGTATTCTCCTTCCCATTGTAGTAAAATCCTACAATTCAGTGGGTAACCCGCTCCGCCTGTCATCTCAGCCTACAGGATCTAAGGAGAGCTCTCAGTGCTGTATTAGAGGCAGAATTTGCAACCCAGGTTTAAGTCAACATTTCCCTAGTCTCAGAATTGTTCTGAAGGGCAGTAGAGACATGTTCAAGCAAAATCAGCTGCAAAACCACCAAGAGTTATAGGAAGAAGACTTCACAGTCATTTTGGCATCAAGTGAGATGGCACAAACACAGTACGAGGTCGCTGTACGACAGTGAAAACCTGGTCCCGGAGACAATCAACTGATTCTTGAGCAAGCTCTTCCTGAGGCCAGTTCATGAGAGGCTAACTAAAGCTTTGGAAGTATGAGGAATTGTGCCCTATTTATTTTCCAGGTCTTCCAGCCCCTTCCAGCACTTCAACATGAAAAGCAAATTTTACCATCAGAGTAAAAGCCAATGCTTCCCTAAAACTCTCCTTCCCTCTGCCTCTAAAGAAATGTAGAGAGAGCAATGACAGCTTCATGCTGGCTCCCCTGGCTTGGCCAAGGTGATCTGTTCCAGACACAGACACAGAGCTATTACAATCTTCACCTGTGACCACAAAGGATTTTTTTGTTTGTTTATCCATATTGAACTTTCATGAGGCAAACAAAAGCAACTTGTGAAAATGGACCAAATGTGTAACCTGAGAAAGTCAAGTCATATGAAAAGGTCTTAGTTTACATTAACTAAATGTTTGTTTGCTATGTAGACCTGATTTCAGTTAAAGCTGTTCAAACAAAACAAAAAAGGAATGTAGACAAGATTAAGACAACAGTTGCTAAACCTTATCTGTGGTATTAAAAGACAGTGGTTCACAGAAGTAAACTTGAGTACTTTGAAAAGAGACAAGAACTACAAGTGTAATTCAACTTCTGTGAAGATACAGGTTTCACAACATTTATTACAAGAAAAAAAAATTAAGTTCTTAAGGGACTGCAAATGCAAACTGTTTAAACCATAGGGATAGGCTGTCAGCTATGTACTAAGCCCTATGGTAAGGAACTTGAAAGTTGTTTTTTCTAAGTGGTTCACAGCATGGACTAGCGACTTCCATTAAAGAAGACAAAGTACATAAGCCTCGGCAGCTACAGTACACCCCAGGTAATAAAACAGAATAAAATAGACCATTGCATATAATTAGCTCATTCAGTCTTTCAGAATACATTGGATTATGGATCACAGTAAACAAAACTGAAAAGCAAGGAGAAGGGCATATCTGGTCACTTCGCTACTGTACAAGAGTAATGAAAGCAGGCTGTCTATTTTTTTTTTAAAGATTTATTTTTATTATTTTTTTATTGGAAAGGCGGATATACAGAGAGGAGAAGAGACAGAGAGGAAGATCTTCCGTCCAATGATTCACTCCCCAAGTGAGTGCAACGGGCCGATACTATGCCGATCCAAAGCCAGGAGCCTCTTCTGGGTCTCCCACGCGGGTGCAGGTTCCCAAAGCTTTGGGCCGTCCTCGACTGCTTTCCCAGGTCACAGGCAGGGAGCTGGAAGGGAAGCGGGGCTGCCGGGATTAGAACCGGCGCCCATATGGGATCCTGGGCGTGTAAGGCGAGGACCTTTAACCACTTGCGCCACCGCGCTGGGCCCAGGCTGTCTATTTTTATAAATAATGCTTTCATCATCCTCCTCAGATGCTTTTTCTTTTCTGTTTTTTAGAATTTATTTGTTTGGGGCCCAGTGGTGTGGCATAGAGGCTAAGGTCCTTGCCTTGAATGTGCCAGGATCCCATATGGTCACCAGTTCTAATCCCGGCAGTTCCACTTCCTCTCTGTCTCTCCTCCTCTCTGTATATCTGTCTTTGTAATGAAAATAAAATAAATCTTAAAAAAAAAAAAAAGAATTTATTTGTTTGAAAGAGTGACAGGGGTAGCGTAGGAAGGAGAGAGGGGTATCTTCCATTCATTGGTTCACTTCCAAAATGGTAGCAACAGATGGGCCAAGAGCCAGGAGCCAGGAGCTTCATCCAGCTCTCCCATGTGAGTGCAGGGACCCAAGGACTTCAGCCATCTTCCAATGCTCTCCCAGACACATTAGAAGGGAACTGGATAAGACATACAGCAGCCAGGACTCAAAAGGCACACATATGGGATGCCGGCATATAAGTGGTGGCTTGACCTATTATGCCATAATGCCAGCCCTACCTAGCTATTTATTTGAGTCATCCACTGCCATGGATAAGAACAAGGGCTTTGGCAACAGTTCAAACTTGGGCCCCACTACAGAAAAGTTATGCCATCTGTAAAATAGGGATAATTACATAATAACCACATAGATTTGTGGTGAGAATTAAATGGGTTAATAATGAATAGCCTTTGTATGTCAGGTACTTTTGAGATGTTAAGAATACAAATTAAACAAAACCACAAAGTCTAGAACTTACGGTTTCAGGCGTGTTACCATCTTGTGAAATTTTCTGAGCAGGAAAATTTATAATATTCATGCCAACTTATGCCCACCCCTTTTCCCCACTAATGCAAATCAGAATAGGTCAACAATGAGAATTGACTCCCAACAGAGTTTGTTCGTAAAGGGAAGCAGTATTCATGAGATACAATCTTCCTGGACATCAAGTCCACTGGCATGCATTTTATTCAATTCCATGCCATGACATTTCCATCTCAATGTTATGAGTAAAACACAGTATAACATTTTAACCGAATGCTCCCCATCCCCCAACTCCCTCCCACCCATTGCTTTCCAAGGGAAATACCAAGTTCTTTTCTTAAAGAAGAAAAAACATTTCTACTTGTTTGATTCAGAGTTCGACTTGAGAGAGATAGAGACAGAGAGGAGAGAGAGAGAGAAAGGAAAGTGGCAGAATGAACATTGCATAAAACCAAAAGGGTGGGTGAATGTTTGGCACACGGGTTAAGATGTCACTTGAGAGGCCCATATCCCTTACAGCAGCCCAATTACACTGTTGATTCTAGCTTCCAGCTAATCTACACCCTGGGAGGCTATGCAGATGGCTCAAGTACTGGGATCCCTCCCAAACACAGGAAAGACTTGGACCGAGTTCATCACTCGTAGCTTTGATGTGACCCTGGCCTGGCTAGTAGGAAGATCTGGGTAGTAAATCAGTAGATGGGAAATCTTACTTTATTGTCTCTTTTAAATGAACAAAACTAAATAAATACATAGATTTTTTTTAAAAAAACATACACATACCAAAGGATCAGGACTTAGGATCCACTGGAATCCTTATAACTTCACGGGAAGAGTAATGAAAGCTGAACCATGTTGGCTGAGGGATGGAGTTCTAACCATGACAGGAGTCGGATCTCCTTCTGTCCAAGCAGACACACTGGTAATAATAAGAGACCAGCCATCGTGTCTGATGTGCACTTACTGAGAATGGACACCAGACAACCTTCAAGGGCATTAATGCTCATTGTTATCAAAAGGTTCGCTGATGGCTAAGTGACCCTGAAGGATCTTGAAGGGTCTCCTTTACCTTTAGAGAAAAATAAAACAACGTTCCAAGTGGCTATGGGTGTACAGCTGCCACTTAGAAAACCCTACTCTATAACATTCACATATCTGCCTTATCCACACAAGAGGCAAAAGAGCTCATCCAAGAAAATTTTTCTCCTGGAAACACTTAGGACAAGTCTGAAGAGGAGGAAGAAACAATCTATACCTAGAACCTCAGACATTTGGCTCTTACACAATGAATGGGACTCCTGAGCTCCCCAAATCTCATTTCTGAGCCACTCTGTCACAATAAAGTTGCAAATTATCCCCGTTATCCCCATCACTTCTGCAGATAAGCCAATGCCATCTGCACTTCTGTCAAGTCTGCTTAGGCTCTAGACTAGGCCCCAGGTCAAGTGTGCAATTCCATCATGAGATACATGAGCAAGCCCCTCAGGGTTAATGTCTCCTTCTATGAACCAGAATACGTTGTTTGACTGGAACAGAAATAGGGAGAGTTGAGAAGGTTCAATCTTCAAACAGATCCTCTATGAACACCCTCTCATTATAGGTGTATGGAAGATATGGATCTGACCATCAAGAAAGGAGAGCGAAACAGTACCATGATACTGAACACTCTTCCAAGAGAAAGTCACTAGATGAAGAGACTGATTTCATGTGTTTACTATGTTTCAAATGTTTATTTTCAAGACAAGGTGGTAAAAAAGTAGGGACCAAGACAGAGAAAGACACAAAGACACAAAACAATTTCCATCTGGTGGTTCGCTACCCCAATGGTCACAAATAGTCAAGGTAAGGGCCTGGCTAACCCAGGAGCCAGGAACGCCACCCAGGTCTCCCATGGGTGGAAGGGGCCCAGGAGCTGCCTCCCAAGGTATATAAGCAGGCAGCTGGACAGGAAGTGAATGATCCAGGATTCTAACCAGCCAGTACTCCAATAGGGAATGCCAATGTCGCAAGCTGTTGCTCAACTCATTGTGCCACAAAGTGGCTCCCACATTTTACTATTTTTAAGAAGGAAAACAGACTATTAAATAATACAGAAGAAAGTCCTTCTATTACTACTGAACAAAAAAAAAAAAATCTTGTCTAAACCTCTTAAATTGTGAAAAAATATCTAAAAGGTACTTAATTCCTCTGCCAAAAGTTTCTAAATTGCTAAGTTAGAAACCATTCTAGACAAGGAAAACAATCCACCCCTAAACCCACAGAACCAGAAAGCATGTAAAACCAAGGACTTCATCCTGTAATTTGTCCAGCAAAGGCACATGGTCTTGGGGAAAAAAAAAGAGTAAAAGTCAACAACGAGGAAATGGTGTAACTACTGGTAACATATGTGTGTTCCCTTAGCAGAACAGAGTGCTGGGAGCCTGCAAAGTGCTGGATCCCAGGCCGACTTACAGGGCAAAAAACAGCACCTGACACCATTCTCTGAGAGATGGAAATGATTCCTACTGTAAGGAGATGAGCACGAATAACTAAAGTTGGGAGGAGGAGGCAGAAACCAGCATTCCTGCTATTCAGCTGAATAGCTCTCTCACCATTCCACCCCATGTTGGTCTCTAGGGCCTAGGATTTCCTGCTATGTCTCAGTCCCACCACTATGGCACACTCAACGTCAAATCAGCAGCACTTTCAAGTGCGGCTGGACTTGGATGACAATATTCTACAGTTAGAGCAACATTGCAATTTTACAGATGTGTCTTCTCCGCTGACAATGGCACACCTCAGTCAGTTACAAAAGGCCAGGAGAGATAAGAAAACGAGACAGCCCATAGGCTTGTTAAAATAGGCTCTTCAACCTGTGAAGGTTTTAGGGAAGGAGATAAACTCAATTTCCATTATTAGAATTTTTACACTGTAAATGTGCAGAAAGATGAAAATTGGCTCCCCACAATCATTCCGTGAGGTTGTCAGGCCCAGGAGCGTCTATTTTTCCCGAAACTCTAGCTGCCAGCAATGTCTCCAGCAAGGACTGACTGAACCAAAGGAGGGTCTAGTAGACGGTCAAGTCTGAGTTCAGCTCAGCTTTAGGGAGGATGTAGACTCCTAAAAAAGTGGAATTTCTTTGCTTTCGGTTCTACATATGATGAGAAATGATGAATTTTGTTACAGTCTAGCAGATCTTACATGTATCAGTGGGGACAGACGCTGTATCTCCTCTGCCTAGAGTTCCTTAGCTGGTCCCTCTTCTCACAGTTAACAACAACAACTACAACAAAAAGTCCTACCACTTGTTAATCTTTTTAAAAAAATCTTTTAAATTAATTTTTCCCAAGGTTTATCAATTTATTTGTAAGGCCGAGTTATAAGGATACAGGGAAAGACAGAGATCTTCCATTCACTGGTTCACTCCTGAAATGGCCATGGCTGGGCCAATAGAAGCCAGGAGCCAGGAACTCCATTCAGGTCTTCCAAATGGGTGACCAGGGCACAAATATTTGAACCATCATATACTGTTTTCACAGGTGCATTATCAGGGAGCTGGAAATGGAGTGGCTGAGACTTGAACCAGTGTTCACATGGAATGCCTGCATGACAGGACACAGCTTAACCTATGCTGCCACAATACCATAGCCTCTCTTTTAACAATTTTTACATGAAAATTTATCCATCATGAAATCTATTAATTTTAAATGAACAATTCAAGAATCTCTCTTTTCCTTCCTTCCTTCCTTTTTTCTCTCTTTCCTTTCTTCCTTTCTTTCTTTTTTTTTCCCTTAAGATTTATTTCTTTATTGAAGAAGCAGATGAGATTTGTGGAGAGAAGGAGAGACAGAGAGAAAGACCTTCCATCTGTTGGTTCACTCCTCAAATGGCCATAATGGCAAGAGCTGAGCCAATCCAAAGCCAGGAACAAGGAGCCTCTTACAGGTCTCCGACATGGGTGCAGGGTCCCAAGGCTATGGGCCATCTTCCACTGCTTTCCCAGGCCACAAGGTGGGTTCTGGATGGGAAGTGGAGCAGCTGGGACACAAATCAACACTCATATAAGATCCCAGTGCTTACATGTGTAGGGTTTAGCCATTGAGCCATCATACCATACCAGGACCAAAACTTTCTTTTCATTCACTGTATTTTTCTGATTTTTTTTTTCTTTCGGCTGATCAGATTGAATTTCCACTTGAAGCAGCAATAAAAAAGCTCCCATCTTAATGAGATTTGTTGATGTAAAGATCAGTTGACTTAAAGAAAAATGTTATAGTGTTAACAACATATACAGTCCACAGATAAAGGTTTGAATGATTAATGCAAACAGTATTTATTAAATATTATCTCATCAGATCTAGACTTGCTAATCTTCCAGGGAGAAGAACAGCAACTAATCACATAAACGAAAGGCAAGGAAGGCCTTGGCTTCTGGACACATCTTGAGAGCAAGGCACTGACTGCCTTTGCTTCTTGCTCTCATTGGAAAATGAGCTGCATGGCAAGTAGCTTTGGTAGTGAAGATAGCAAAAGGCAGACCTGCTCACCATCCCCTAGATAAAGATTCCTGTTCCCCTAAGCTCAAGGTACCACTTCATTCTCTCCATGTGCACCTGTTGCAAAGCCTTCTTGGCATTGTCATATAAAATACAGGCTTGGAGAATGGCTTGGTACAGCAGAAGTATGTGCATCCCTCAAATTCTTATGTTGAATTGCTTACCTCCAAACTGAGGGCATTAGGAGGTAAGGGCTTTGGGCAGTGACACATCATAGGCTCGGTGATCTTATAAAAGAAAGCTTAGAGAAGGGAGTCGGCCTGCAATAAGCACCATGGAAATGTGTACTGAAAGACATTATCTGTGGATCAAGAAATGTCCTCACCAGACACAGAATCTTGTAGCACTTTGCTTGTGTTGTAAGGATAGATTTCTTCTATTTGGATGTAACTTAGTATCTTGTATTATAACAGCCCACATGGACTCAGCCAGGGAACTGGCACAGAAATGCTGATGCTCTGGCTGCTACTGTTGGTGTAACAATCAGTCCTCCTCTGACCTGGGATTCTCCACCTTATGCTAAAAGAACAACTTATACAATCAGCATGGATTCTCAAACTACCCACAGTCCCTGAAAGTCCTCACCTCATTGTGAATTTCTTCTCCTTGTTTCAAAACTGCAGGCTCGAAAGACAATAAAGCAACATCGGTCCCATCCACATCGTCACGGACATTCTGAAGAGCCAACTGGCAGCGCTGTAGGATGTAGTCCAAGGTTCCTGTGGAGCACTGTTGAGACAGAACCAACAATCAAGGTCATGAGTGAAACCTGCCTTGCATGCCACTCTTCCTAGGGATATTCACGCCTGTCCCCTCTCTGTGCATTTGCCTGCCATCGTCCCACAGCCACACTACCAGGTTCAGCTCAGTGGATGCCCTGCTGCCAGCCTGCCCACCCGTAGGCCGATCAGCTTGCTGATCAACAGTAGGCTCCTTGAAGCTCAGACCCTATCTTAGTGTTCATTTTCTTATAAACTACAGCTTCTAGAATGGAATCCTAAATGTAAAAAAAGACCTGGATGGTGGTTAATTAAATATTAAGGACACAGACTTTTATTCAAGTGCCTTGAATGGAATCATGGGAAAGGAAGGAAATGAGACTACAGAATTAGTTGAAAATTTGCACGTCAAATAGAATGCTAAACAGTGGGGGAGGAGGATTGAGGAGATTACAAGTATAAACACATCATTTCTCTTTGCTCCAAGCAGCGAACTTTTGATAGATACAGTCCTTGGCAGAACAGTTTTCCACTAATGGGGAATTTGTGGCTTGTCCCCCGGAGTCACATGCAAAACCTCAACTTAGTACCTGGCTGTCAGTTGGGACACAGGTAACTAGTTCATCCCTCCCTGAGTCTGTGGACACAAAATAAAAAGCCCTCTAATGGGAAAACCCTTCGCTGCAGGGCTGTGTGTGAGAAGAGGTCACAGATGGAACATGCATTCATTTGTTTGGATAACAAAATGACTTGCTAAAATGATAGGAAAGCTGGCTCCAGGTATCCTGCAGATACAATGAAGAATATCGACGCCTGAAATATCTATGTCTTGTTATTCATCATTTAACCCGGGCCACTGGAAATAACTTTGAAGGCTAATCCTCCAGTGTAAAAATTCCTTGCATAGTTATGGCCATTTTATACAATGTGACATCAACAAGCCTGGGAGAAAGCAAAAAAAAAAAAAAAAAAAAAAAGTTGTGCCAGAAACAGACACTTGACTCATACATATTTTAATATAAAGACCCCAGAGTGCTAAGAGCACAAGGGCAGGCAGCTCCAATTTACTGCTAAGAAAAAACACCGAACGGATGTACCTGCCACTGACGGCTGCCCCACAGTCATCCCTACAGCGTCCTGAGAAATGACGCTGAGTCTCAACACTTATCCTGTGCCCACCTTTACTTCCAGAAGTACAGAGTGACCTATGCTATGTAAGATATGTAATCTTTATTCATTGTAATTGTTATTAATTATAATCATTATTAATTGAACTGCCATTTATTTTACCTAAATATTGGGTACATCCTAAATCCCACATCAGTAGGGGAACAAGTAAGTCCATACTTGAGCAAAAACAAAAATGTAGACAAAGTTGTTTTTTGGTTTTTGATTTTGATGTGAAGAACTATCAGCAGGGTTAATTGGGTCTGGGGATTTTATTTATTTATTTATTTATTTATTTTTGGAGCAAAGAGAAATGATTTCTTCCCCCCTTGTAATAATTTTATTGATTAAAAAATTCACACATCATAAAATGGTACAACTAAATGATTTTATAGTACACAAAGAGTTGTTCAACTGTCACTAAAATTAATTGTTGAATAATCCTACTGTGTCAAAAAGAAACTGTGCCATTCTTTCCAAACTGAAAAAACAAAAATCCTTACCCACCTTCCTTTTCTGGACATTTAAACGAAAGAATACAGGGGTGACCTTTGCACTTAGAAGATTTTCTGATACATGCTATAGCGTGTATCAATATAAAAGTGTATCATTCCTTTGTAGTCACACAAAGGATTCACTACATGAATATACACCTATGTTAGTTATCTGTTCATTAAGCAATAAACCATTGGGTTCTTTCCACTTTCCGCCAGCTGTGAGTTAAGCTATCATGAACTTTCATGAATGATTACATTTCCCTTGGTTACCTACCCAGAGATGGAATTGCTGACTCACAGGCTGACTTGGCAGTTACTTTCTGAGAACTGCAGGAAGGCTCTGCTTCCTGCACAGCCCCACCAATACCTGCTAATAATGCTTGAACTCTTAGCCATTCTGATGGGATGAAATGGTATCTCTTCACGGATCTGTTGCATTTCTCTAACAACTTTGGATGCTGAGTGTTTTCTGCGTGCTTATTAGCCTTTGGTTCACCTTTCTTGGTAACGCTGGTCTATGCGAATGTTTCCATGGTTTGAATAGGATTAGTTCTCTTTTAATTAGTAAGTTCTAAAACACAAGTACCTTTTGAGATACATGATTTTTAAATATTTTCACATATTCCACTGGCTGTCTTTTCACATTCTTTTTTGTTTTTTTCAAGATTTATTTATTCTTCTTGGAGAAGCATATTTTACAGCAAGGGGAGACAAAGATCTTCCATCCACTGGTTCACTCCCTAAATGACCGCAATGGCCAGAGCTGAGCCAACCCAAAGCCAGGAACAGGGAGCCTCCTCCAGATCTCACACATGGACGCAGGATCCTAAAGCTTCGGGCCAGCCTCACTGCCTTCCCAGGCTACAAGCAGGGAGCTGGATGGAAAGTGGAGCAACCAGGATACAAATTAGTGCAAATACACAGTTTTTAACTTTGATGGAAGGCCAATGTATCTATCTTTTCTTTGTTGCTAATGCCTCTGGTACCATATCTGATAAGCCATTGCCTATTCCAAGAGAACTATGTATTGGTGAATAACTGTTACCAAGGATTCTGAAACAAAACTACGAGCACAGAATGCGATACAGAGTAGGAGGGTGGGACCGGTGTGTATGTGTTCATGATAGTATATCTGTATAAAATATCACAGAAGGAATCGTAAGAATGTGAAAACACTCGTGCCTCTAGGGAGAGGGAGCTGGCTAACTTGAGGGGAAAAAAGCATTCAGCTGCATGATCTTCGATATTTTCTTAGAACTTTGAAATATTTGAGTAAAAACTATTTCAATAAATAACTATGCAAAAAATTTACATGTAAAGAATGGCATTCCAAAACAACTGGAAGAAAACTAAAATCACATAAAGGTCAAGAGCAACCACACAAAACCTAGTCATTTGCAATAAAAAAATGTGAATAGATTTCTTCGTCAACTAAAATGATTCCCACTACACCATTTCCTTAACACAAGCTGTTTCCTACATGTTGCAAATAGGCAGAAAATAACAAATCATTTTGCTTGGCAGATGAGACATGCAATGTTAACAGCATAAGAAAGAAAGAATGCAAAACAAGCGAGAGCTAGGAAATGGCAACAATTTACGCTGCCTTTTCCACAGCGAGAAACCAGAGTACAGCTTCAGAGTTGGGAAGACAATCTTGTTTATTTTATTTTTTTTCTTCATCTTGTTAAAATAATTAAAGAAAAAAATTTTTAAGCTAATAATACAATCCTAATTCCTGAAGTCATTTTTACACTTTATTGAGTATAATTCTCTATGCATACCCATTTGTAATCAGTACATACAAGTTAATGTGTATAATACTTTCTTTTTTTTAAAAAAGATTTTATTTATTTTTATTGCAAGGTCAGATATACAGAGCAGAGGAGATACAGAGAGGAAGATCTTTCGGCCGATGGTTCACTCCCCAAGTGACTGCAAGGGTGCTAAGCCAATCCAAAGCCAGGAAATTCTTCAGGGTCTCCCATGCAGGCAGTTGGTCCCAAAGCTTTGGGCCGTCCTCGACTGCTTTCCCAGGCCACAAGCAAGGAGCTGGATGGGAAGCAGGGCTGCCGGGATTAGAACTGGTGCCCACATGGGGTCCCAGCGCACTCACGGCAAGGATTTTAGCCATTACACTATTGCGCTGGGCCCTAATATTTTCACTATTTGTACAAATGTATGCTAAATTATCATTTCAAATGATTGCTAATTAAATTTATATCCAGTAATCAAAGTGATCAGATGCTATAAAGGAACTAAAGGTTTCATTGATCTTTCTTGTTACTGCTCATGTTACAAAAACTGAATCATTTTCAAGCCATGATTCCTAAAAACAGTATTATGATAACATGAATACAATATTTTGATGGTGCTTAATACAAACTCCCATATAATGCCCTGAAAAGCAACTTTTTAGAAAAACTATCAAAAGTATACGAATGAACCAGTTTCACTGTAACTTTGTCAGTATTAAATATTTTCATTTTTCACTTTTGGTGGAATATTAGGGCTGCAATGAAAAGGTTATCCAAAAAGAGTCTTTCTTTTAAAAACTGGCTTCAATTTTAGATTTTTATTTTTAGTTACAATTTATTTGAAAAGGCCAAAGACATAAAGATATTCCATCCAATGCTTCATGCTAAATGCCCACAACAAACAGGGTTAGATCAGGGAAAGTCAGTGACCCAGAACTCAAACCTAAACTCCCACATGGATGGTAGGGACCCAAGTATTTGGAACACAGCCTTCAGGTTCCCACTGAATATTCATTAGTAGGAAACTAGAATCAGAAGGAGAGCTAGGACTCCATCCAAGCCTATTCCAATGTGGGATGCAGGTATCTTAGCAGAGGTTTAACCCATTGCATCCAATGCCCTCCCCTAAAGGGAATTACAGCCTATTTACATGGGTCAGGTACTAATGGAAGTCAGCAAAAGGCTCTTTCTTTCTCTCATTCTTGATCGCTCTCTATTTATTTGTTTGAAAGAGTTATAGAAACAGGAGCTGAGACATAAAGATCTTTCCTCTGCTTCGTCACTCCCAAAATAGTCAAAATGTTCCAGGTTGTCCAAGAGCAAGGTGCTTTCTCTGGGTCTCCCGAGTGGGTGTGGGGCCCAAACACTTGGGACATCTACTGTTTTTCCAGATTAGTTTGCAGGGAGCTGCATCAGAAGTTAAACAGCTGGGATACGAACCGGCGCCCATATAGAATGTTGGCATCAACAAGTAGAAACTTTACCTGCTACACATCAACACAGCAGCCCCCAGGCAAACTGCCCTTAAAAGACTAGACAATAAACATTTTGCAGGTTCTAAGCACTGTCCTATGAACAACTCAGTTTTGCCATTGTTGCTCCAAAGAAGCCGAAGCCAATGTCAACAAATGAGTGTAGCCATGATGCAAATCAACTGTAAAAAACAGCCTGTCGGACCAAGCATGATAGTGTAGCAGTTACGGTCCTCACCTTACACGTCCGGGATTCCATATGGGCGCCGGTTCTAATCTCGGCAGCCCTGCTTCCCATCCAGCTCCCTCTTTGTGGCCTGGGAAGGCAGTTGAGGACGGCCCAAACCCTTGGGACCCTGCACCCGTGTGGGAGACCCAGAGGAAGTTCCTGGCTCCTGGCTTCAGATTGGCTCAGCTCCAGCCATTACAGCAGCTTGGGGAGTGAATCAACACAGGGAAGATCTTCCTCTCTGTCTCTTCTCCTCTCTGTATATCTGACTTTCCAATAAAAATAAATAAATCTTAAAAACAAAAACCAGACTGCCTTATAGGGCAGTTTGATGATCACTGATCCAGATTATAGAAAGCAGGACACTCACATGAATCATGCTCCATGTGTTTAATTAGTAAAATACCAATACAGCTTTTACTGAAGCACAAAGAAAACAAAAAAATAGCATTTGGGGTAATGGTTCTCTCCTGGAAGTCACTGTAAATGTTTCCTATTTTATTTCAAGCTCATTTGTGCTGGAAATTTGGACTAAAAGTTCGAAGACGCAGAGACAGCCATGACTAATCGGAGAAACTTAAGCCTAGGGACGATTTTGAAAGCAATGCTGCTCTACTGACAGCATGAAATTGGTCCACCTGGAAGAACCAAGGCTGGGCGGCTGCCTCTCACACTGCGCTCCAGAGGGCTCCCTTGGGGAGTGTGTGTGCGTGAGTGTGTGTGTTTATGTGTGAAAGTGTGTGTCTGCTTACTTTCTACAGGGTATGGGTGAGAAGCATCTATCTAACTCCACATTTCCACTGCTCTCCTGGGCCTCTACACTTGGCAGTTCCAACTCAACCTACTCAAACAGGAACCCATTCCTATCTTCTGCTAACATGTTGTACTCCCCGTTCTCAACCACCTGGCTCTGCAAGCCAGTCATTGTCATACTTTTGTCTCGCACACGATTCATGGGAACGTTTTATTCTTGTCTGCTCCCACTACGTTAGTTCACATTCTGACAGGACTGAGTGAAGTGCGTGTCATTTTTATCTTTATAAAGTTATTTCCAATATGTCAATGAAAGACCCTCAACAACCTATAATTGATCACCCCCCAGTTTACGTTCAAATACACAACTTCATGTTCTAGATCTTTCACATGCTTGTTCTATCAAAGACTTAGTCTTTTTCTACTAACACTCCCTTTGGCACCAGGGGTTCAGGCTGTTCTACCATACATATATACATATATGTACACATATACGTACTTAGACTGTAAAAGTCATGATGGTGGGCCTGGTGTGCGAGCCTCACAGCTGAGGTCCTTATCTTGCATGCCCCAGAATCCCTTATGGGCATCAGTTCATGACCTGGCAGTCCCACTTACCATCCAGCTACCTGTTTGTAGCCTGGGAAACCACTCAAAGATAGCCTAAAGTCTTGAGACCCTGCACCAGTGTGGGACACCAGGAAGACGCTCCTGGCTCCTGGCTTCAGATTGGCTCAGCTCTGGCCATTGCAGCCACCTGGGGAGTGAATCACTGCATTGAAGATCTTGCCTCTGTTTCTCCTCTTCTTTATATATCTGACTTTCCAATAAATAAATACATCTTTAAAAAAAAAACCATGAAGGCATTAAACCTATTCATCTTTCTTGTTCATAGGTGACTACGGGAATACCAGAACTTTACAGAACGAGTGACTGTATGGATGAGTAGGAATCCTTTCTTGGGATAGAAACTTCAAATGAAGGGCAATTCTGTTCATCAAATGAACTAAAGGATCATGGATCTGGTGCAATGGCGCAGTGGTTAAAGTCCTCGCCCCATATGGGTGCCGGTTCTAATCCCAGCAGCCCTGCTTCCCACCCAGCTCCCTGCCTGTGGCCTGGGAAAGGCAGTCAGTCGAGGATGGCCCAAAGCTTTGGGACCCTGCACCCAAGTGGGAGACCCGGAAGAGGCTCCTGGCTTCAGATTGGCTCAGCTCCAGCCGTTGCGGCCGCCTGGGGAGTGAATCATCATATGGAAGATCTTCCTCTCTGTCTCTCCTCTCTGTATATCCGCCTTTCCAATAAAAATAAAATAAATCTTTAAAAAAAATATGAACTAAAGGATCAATCTCTTCCTCTATTACATAGCACCAAAATAAAACCCATTTAATTTTAGTTTTCCATGAGCTTGTAGAAAATTTCTTCAAACAGAAGGAGACTGAATCACTTTCAAACACAGGGATTTACTTCTCCCTGCGTCCCATTAGTTTTGGTTCAGAATAAAATGAGAAGGTAGGGGAACAGCAGCAACAGAAGTCTGTGGACACCAGCCACTATTCTAAAAAGACTTACAATGTATGAACTTCTACAATCCTCGTAAGAACCATATGAGTGAGGAAAAAAAAATGGTTTCATCCATCAAACATTTCCCCAAGTTTCTGACTCATCATTTTGTGCACTGGTAAGTTGTTTCCGTTCCCAGGTTAGGGTGGGAAGGCTGCAAGGACACACCTAGTAAGTGACATGTTCGAGTCCTCAGCAACTGGATCCCTGGGGTGGCTACAGCTAGAAAGACAGATACCTATAAGAGGTGAAACACAGCATCTCTGTAGAACACAAGACACACACTAGATGCTCCACACATGAAGACTTCCTTCCTGAGAGACTGACTCTTGGGTCGCCAAGATAAGTATTTCTGTGTCTATTTAACATTTGTTTCCTCTGCTAAACTGTGAGTTCAACACATCCAGCAGACACAGTGGTGACGCTGACTGCTGTATCACCCAGGTCAACAGCGCTGTACACACAATGAGCACTTATTTAATGAGTAAGTTAAGAGGAAAGAGGAGAGAGGGAGAAAGGAGCGCTCCATGGGAATGATGGCAACTTGATATAAGCCGTCATTCCTACCCTGTCTGCCATGGTGCAGACAGTCCACTAACACCGCCACTTCACGGCCAGAAGACACAAGGCTGCCTTAAGGGCTCACACACTTCCTGCCACTTTCTCACGCTGCTCAGCTCTCCCACATTTGCCCCATGAGGCTCTCTGAGAAGTCGTGACAAAGCCAAGAATGGATAAAGAGCATGGTAGGAAGATAACTTATAATTTTTTCTTCTGATTATTCCCCTAGAAGCCTTCTTTAATAAACACACAGAACTCTAAAGTGGCTATTACATGTTTCCCTTCCATCTTTTAACTTTGCATTCTAATCTAGTCTGATCAACTGACCATCAGTCACTGCAAGTGATGGTGGAGTTCAGCCATAAAGTCTGGACTGTGAACACAACTGGAGACCTCAGACATTCCTTGGCACCACTGTACTTTCTCCTTGATTTACATTCACACGCCCAAGAGCCTGACCAAGCAAGTGAGAGTAATGTAAATTCTCAACCATCCAAACTCAGCTAACACATGCACATGCACACACATCCACCCCATTTCCTCTTTGCATCTCTTGTCCTTGACCTTAACAGTGCTAGCCCCCTAAGAAAATCTCTAACCAGCAACACCTGCCAACAGCATTTACCTTCTCCAAAAAACATAACCCCCCCCCCAAAAAAAGTAAAATATGCTTATCTCACACTGTGAACACACTTTTTAAAAGCTATCCAATACTAAGCTTAAAAAAGCAGTAAATAGAGACGAAAGTCAAGGGAGATGGAAGCAATTTTCCCATCAAATACTCTTCCAACGTTCTATGATAAATTGCTCATTCAACCACTTCTGTCACATCTAATTAAGTGTGAATCACATTTTTATTTACACTTACCTCCGCCACTCGGTGGGTAGAACTAAAACGAGGTTGTGATCCAGCCAAAACACAGTGCTGGTGGGTGGCATTGAGATCATCTGCAGAAAAACACATACACACACACACAAAAATTTAAGCCACATTTATTAGTCAGTATTTACTGATAATTAACTAAAACACTAAGTAAACACAAAATTCATCCTTTAGAAAATGACAACAAAGCGATAAACATTTACCTTGTATTCTGGAAGCCATGCATCATGAATATGATGTAATTGTGAGGGGAAGAGGGGGGTGCACTTGCCCAGCCTTTCAAGCAGGAAAGGGGATGTTATTACTGATTATTCCAGGACAAGTATAAATCAGGATATTCCTTAACAAATATGATGCACAGTCTACCCTACCAATATGTGGGCCTCATCACGCCCATACACTATAAAGTCTACTAGACTGGGTTTCTTGTTCTTTCCCATGATACATCTACTTCGTGTGTGTCTTCAGAATACACCAAAATTCTTTTCCATTTTTTGGAGTTGAACATCTTCCATCTGAAAGTCTGTCTCTTTCTCTCTGTAATCAAAGTATCAGTTTTGCCCTAACAATTTTCCAGGCAAGAAACCAACCAACTCAGCATGTTGTATGTTTGGCTCTCAGAATAGAATTCAAGCCTATGGATTCAAGACCCAAGAAAGGGGGAGGTGGCGACTCCTCCGTTGAAGAGTGCTCCTAAAACCACAAGCAGTGGGAGAAAAATCAACGACCAAGTTGTTGTGTTTCCTGAGACCTAATGTACCACATCAAGAGAAATCCATATCACCTCTACCTGGTACACTGCATCCTTTATTACACAGAAGAGAGTTAAATTGGAAGACTCCTCAGAAATTTATGATTTCCTAGAAAATAACAAACTAGAATGTCAAGGCCACTAGGTCCCATACACATCAACATAAAGAAGCTACAGTAATGGCTCTAAAGATAGACAAGAATGTAAAATGTTGACTGAAGAATCTCCAAGATATTACATAGTAATCATGACAAAGTTTACCCTTGTTCCCTAAACAACTACAGGAAAAAGAAAAAAGGAATAGTAGCCAAAGGTTTATGACACTGAAAGCAAAGAAAGAAATGCTCTGAGGTACAAAACCAAGACAAAACCTACAACTGCCTAGATTTCTTGTCAGAAATAGTTTCAAAGCTAGGGAAGTGGTTAATCAGAAACTTAGCTTCATTCTTGCTAAGTTGAGAAGATAGAGCATGAAGTTCAGGCAGGCCATGGCAGCCAGATTTGTAAAGAATAATAATGGAAAGAAGCAGCACGAAGAGAAAGCACCTTTTTAGAAGGTTCTCCCAAATCTTTGGCTAAGAACTATCTTATGCCTGTGTGAATGAAAATCCCTGAGGACCCGAACTTGTTGCAGAACATAACAGACAACTTAAATCTCAGACATCACAGATCCAGGAACACTGTGTTGGAGGCGATGGTATACCCTTACTAAGACATTGCAGGTAATCCCTACAAAAAACATCACCCTTAGGTGTGAGGCTTAATTAGTCCTAGATTAAAAGTTGCTTTAGACTCACCGCACAAAACATAACACTAAGCTAAGAAGTAATTACTAATTACAGCAAAATCCAACAGTATTTAAAAGAACACACACACAAAAAAAATCAGGTACTCAAATTGCATGAGACTAACAACAATTTAGACAACGCCAAAGAAAAGATCAGTGAATGAGAACACACAGATATAGAAACTACCCAAAACAAAGGCAAGAATCCTAGAGAAAAACAAAACAAAACACTGCAACAGAAACGAAGAATGCCTGTGAAAGACTTATTAGCAAACTGGACATGACTGAGCAAAGATCTCTGAGTGGGAAGAAATGTTATTAGGAGTTCTACAAACCAAAAAAAATAAACAGAAAAAAGACTGAAAAGAATACCCAAGAACTATGTGTTAAGTATAAGATGTGTAATATATTTAAAAGGCAATACCAGAAGGGTAAGAAGGAAAGAAAAGAACAGAAAAATAATGACTAAGAATATCCTTGAACTAATAAAAGACACAAAGGAATAGATCCAAAAAGCTCAGAAAACAGCCAAATAAAAAATGTCAATAATGATAATATCCTACACTCAGGCACATCATATTTAAACTATAAGCAAATCAAAGACAAACTAAATTTTGGGATCGGTATGTAGTGCAGCAACTAGGACACCCATTGTAGAATAAAGGACCTAGACTCCATTTCCAGCTCCAGCTGCATGTAGGAGACTTGGTATCTGGGGAGTAATCAGCAGCTGGCATCCATCCCTGCCAACCGGACTACCACCACCACAGGTGTACACATACGTGCGTCATAGGCTCAATGTCCCTCAAATTTATTTTAAATTGTGAATGAACTCAAAAGAAAAATAACTTAATCATAAGGGAACAAAGATAAAAATTACAAATGCCTTCTCCTCAGAAATCAATAAAGCAGCTCAATAAAATAAAAACAGGAAACCAACACAGAAAACAAATATAACCAAAAGCTGCCCATCTAACAGACAATTAAAATCATTAAGCCTGGACAGGAAAAAATGAGGGAAGATAAAAGCTACTAATACTCAACAGGAAAGAGGTGCAATCAGGGCTGACTTCATGGCAGAGCAGTTGTTACTCTTCTGTGTGTAGTGCCAGCATCTCATATGGGCACAGGTTTGAGTCCCAGCTGCTCCACTTCCGAACCAATTTCCTGGTGATATGCTTGGCAAAGCAGCAGAGGACAGCCCAGGTGCTTGGGCACCTGCACCCACATGGAAGACCTGGAAGAAGCCCTTGGCTCCTGGTTTTGAATAGCTCTATTTGGGGCAGCCATTTGGGGAGTGAAGCAGTAGATGGAAGATCTCCAGTTTTTTTTCTTCTTCTCACTGTGTAATTCTACCTTTCAAATAAATATTAATAAATTTTTAAAAAATAAGTAAATAAAATGGAAATCACTATAGGTCCTACAGACATTTAAAGGGTAACCCCCAGAAAAAAAACTCCGCTATGATCATCACTAAACCCCCAAATATGACAACTGAGATTAAGTGGATTAACACTTCGAACAACATAAACTGCCAAACTCATACAAGAATGGACAGATAATATGAAAAGGCATGTGATTTTTAAGGAAATTGAATCAATAACTGATAATCCTCTAAAACACAAATCCATACATTGATGACTCTTTTATTACAAGAACAAAGACGTGATCCACTACAAACAAAACGCATTTGCTGCACTAACAAAAAAAAAAAAAAAAAAAAACAATTCTGGGGAAAGCCTTGTAGACAGTGGATTACAATGCTGGCTGTGACATTGGCAGCCCATATGAGCACCAGTTTGAGTCTCAAATGTTCCACTTCCAATTTGGCTCCCTACTAAAACACCGGACACAAGTAGTGGCAGATGTGGCATGTAACTGAACCCTGTAACCCAGAAGAGGCCAGGATGCAGTTCCAGCCTCCTGGTTTCAGTCTGGTCCAGCACTGGCAGTTTGGCTATTTGTGCAATAAACCAGTAGATGAAGGATTTCAATCTCTCTCTGACTCTGACTTTCAAATGAGTAAAACAAATGAACTAAAATTTAAAACTTCCACATCACAAAAGACACTAACAACAACAAAAAAGAAGACAAGCCACTGACTAAAAGAACATAATTGAAAAAGACCTGCCCAATGAAGAATTACTACTCAAAATATATAAAGAAGTCGCATGTTTCAACAATGAGAAAATCAGCAGACTCAACTAAAAAGCAGGCATAAATAAATAAATTAAAAAAATCAGGCAAAGATATTACAGATGTGTCACCAGAGAAGACAAGCAAATACCAAGTAAGCATATAAAAAACTGTCCAACATCATACGTCATTAGAATACAAATTACAACAACGATGAGATACTACCACACACCTGTAGAAAAGGCCAAACTGCAAAACTACAAAACTAAATGTTTACAAGCATGTGGAGCAATAAAAGTCTCCTTCACTGCTACAAAATTGTACAGCCATTGCATAAGCAAATTAGAATAGGGAAGAGAGTTTACTGGGTTCTCAAACAACTACACATCATCTTACCAAAGGATCCAACAACTCGGCATTTGCCTAAATGAGCTAAATACATATTCACACTACACACAATTGCTTACACCAGCGTTCTCCGTAATCATCAAAACTTGGAAGCAACCAAAAAGATGTCCTTGAACAGGTGAGTGGATAAATAACTCGTGGCATATTCAGGCCATGGGAATATAATCAAGCACTAAAAGAAATGAAAAGCCATGGAGAAATCTTGAATGCATATTACTAAGTGAATGAACGAAGCCAATCTACATAACTATTTTTAAAAATACACCTACATGTTATAGCTTTCCAACTATATGACATTCCAGGAAAAATAAAATTATGGAGACCATAAAAAAATCCAAGAACTGCCGGGGTCAGGGAGGGAAAGGGACGAAGAGGCAGAGCACAGAGTGTCCTAGGGCAGCAGGAGCCTTCAGTGGGATACTATGATCTAGACTTGTGCTGTTAGACATTTTGCAAAACCCACAAACTTCTATAATACTATGAGTGATCCACCATGTAAACTATGGACTTTGGCGAATAGTAACAAGCCAATAAAAGTTCAGCAGTTAAACAAATACACCACTTGTGGGTGGGATGTTGGCAGTGAAGGAGGCTGGGTATGCATAGGTGGAGGGAAGGGGGACAGGGGAACTGTTGGTTATTGTGAACTTAAAGTTACTCTTAAAACTCCAAAACATAACCATAAAAAAAGAAACCCTGCACTTAAAAAAAAAATCACAACTTAAAAAAAAAATCACAACTGAAAATCATTTAGAAAATTCTTTAATACTCCCTAGCTCACCACACCAACGATAATATATGAGGATGCTTCCAAAGGTTTGTGAGAAATGCAATTAAAATCTTACTTTAATGCAACAACAACAAAAAAAATTTGTGTATATGAGGGATCTTCAGAAAACACATAGAAATGTGACTCAAAACAAAAACTATGCATGGATCCCAAAAAAAGAAACGCAGGAAAGGATAAATCTTATTTTTCATGC